AGCAAAGTGCAACCACTTTTGAGAAATCTAAAAAACACGATTGCAACCACAATCCTCAGAAGTCATATAACCAGAGGCAAACGATGGCGAATTCCGGCCCATACCGAAACAAGCACACTCCGAAGTACATGCACTCACCACCATCAGGCCCTGCTGCTGCTGCCTTCGCCCCTCGTTTCCTTGACTCGTCCTTCCTGGAACCACCTTGCTTCCGCCCGCCTTCTCCCCCTGCTGCACCCACCCCCTCCTCTCTCTTCCCAGCACCCTCCCCTCTCTTTCTAACCACTCCCGTTTGCTGTACACCCACACCCTCTACAGTCACCCCATTGGCAGCAGCAGCACTACCAGCCACCACCGCCGCCGCAGCTGCAGCCGTTGCCGCAGCAGCGGCGGCAGCGCCGTCAGCAGCAGCACCACCAGCGGCGGCAGAGCCATCAGCACCTTCCTCTTCGGCTTCATTTGATCCAAACGCGAGCAGGTTGGCAAAGTCGAAGAGCGCCTCTGCTACCTCTGCCTCCTGTGCTGACATCGACACAGGAGCAGTGGGCCTACCACCAGGCCCAGCCGCCCCTGCTGCTGCTCCCCCTGCTGCCCCAGTTGCTGCTCCCGGGCCGGCTTTTGGCCGGCCTGCAGGGGGGTGGGGACCTGGCGTGGGGGCAGACGCTGTAGCAGCCGCTGCTGCTGCTGTGGCTGCTGCTGCTGCTGCTGCTGCTGCTGCTGCTGCTGCTGCTGCTTTGGCCTGGAGACGAGAGACGGCGGGAACAAATAAGAGCAAAGAAAATGGGACAACTTGGGACCGTTGAAAGGATAGGAGAGATTGACCGGGAGAAACAGGTCACACCTTTGAGAACTCTCAAAAAGGGTCACACCTTGCTGACAAACCTGACAGAATGGTGGAACTACGAGGCGAAAGACAGGGACAGAGAAGGAAAACCCAAGCTTACCTTTGCCGTGCGTCCCTTTACTTTTTCGCCGGCCCCTGCCTGCCCAGCCCCTCCTCTTCCCCCCTCTCCCCTACCGCTCCTCGCCCCCCTCCCCCCTCGCCCTCCGCCCTCCCCTCCCTCCCCTTTGTTCCCCCTCCCCCCGCCTCTGGGCCCAGTTCCCCCCCCTCCCCGCCCCCCGCCTCTGCTCCTCCCGCCTGAAGCTGCAGCCGGCACTGCAGCAGCTGCTGCTGAAGAGGAAACACCCACCGCACCAGCCGCTGCTGCAGCAAACACTGTCGCGGCCCCAGCAGCAGCAGCTGCAGCAGAAGCGCCAGCAGCAGCGACACCGGCGCCAGTACTACCAGCAGCGCCCATACCACCTACTGCTATCCCTGCACCAGCTTCAGTACCTTCCTCTATTCCACTCCCACCTCCTCCCCTGCCTCCCTCACCTCCCCCTCTTCCCTCCTCTCCTTCTCCTCCTGCTGAAACAACCACACCCGCCACACCACCAACACCTCCCCCACCCCCTCCTCCTCCTCCCCCTCCTCCCCCTCCCCGTCCCCCGCCTCGTCCCCCTCGACCCAGAACTCTCACTCCCCTCCCTCTCCCTGCAAACGCTCCCTCCCCATCCCCATGCCCACCACCCGCTTTCCCAGCCGCTTTGCTCTCCCCGGACTCAGCTGCAGCCCCAACCCCAGAGGCAGCGTGACCCTGTCCTAAGCGCCAGTCCACATGTGCCGCCCCACCCCCAGCTGCCGCTGCTGCAGGAGCAGCAGCGTCTGTGTGGGGGGATATGAACCCAGAGGCTGCATCGGCTGCTGCTGCTGCTGGCACTGCTGCTGCGTGGCTGCTGCTAGCGAAACCAGATCCCATCTCTGCTGCTGCTGACGCGTTTGGGCGAGCGGGAGTAGCAGCAGGAGCAGCAGGAGAAGCAGCAGCAGCAGGAGGAGGAGACGGAGTAGGAGGGAGCGCGAAGGGTCTGATGTGGGATGCATCCGTGTCCCCTCCCAGCCTGTGCTTTGGATCACCGGCTTCAGCTCTTGCTTGTGCTGCTGCCGCCGCTGCTGCTGCCGCTGCTGCTGCTCTCTGGTAGAGGAAAAAATGCACGAAAAGGAACATAGTCGCTAAGAGGAAGAGGGTTTGTAGCACAGGAACTGGTAATCTATGAGACGAGGTGAAAGGAGAGGAAGGGAGATGATAGGAGAGGAGATGAGTGGAGATGCGAGAAGACAGATGAGGCACACTAGGAGAGAGAGAGAGAGAGTATGCTGGACAATGGATACAAAGAAGTATACACAAAGGGCAAGGGAACAAGAGTATGGGAGGAAAAGAAGACAGAGAAAAGTAGAGAGTAGAGATGCAACAAGGGGCCACGAACCTCGTTCTTCCTTGGCTTGGATCGAGCTGCTCGCACCTCCTCCTCTCCAACCCCCACTCCCACAGAACCACCAGCACCAGACAGACGCGTCCCAGGCGCACCAGCCGCCACAGAAACTACCCCCCCTGGCATCCCTAGCCCTTGTCCGCCAGGCTGCCTCATGTCTCCCCCCTGACTCCCCCCCTCACTGCCTCCGAACCGGGCACCTCCCAAGCTTCCCCCCTCGTTGCTCCCAGCCCAGGCTCCCCCCAAGCTTCCCCCCTCGCTGCCCCCCATGCGGTCTGCAGCAGGCGCAAGACCTGTTACTGCCGCCCCGTGTCCGTGCCCTCCTGCTTGCAATCCGTGACCGGACTGGCCGGGCAAATGGGGAGGCATGGAGTCAGGCAGGGAATGGGAAGGGACAGGCCCCAAGCTCCCATGCCCATGCCCATGCCCGAACTTCCCATGCCCGTGCCCATGCCCATGCCCATGCCCATGCGCAAGCCCATGCCCATGCCCGTGCCCATGCTTATGAAGTGATGCTGAAGGATCCTGTTGCTGCTGCTGCTGCTGCTGCTGCTGCAGCGACTGTGCCAACCCCTGTAGCGGTTGCTGGAGAAACGGGGAAGAGAACGGCGGTATTCTAAGCCCCGTTCCCGCTCCCTGGTTCTGACTCAACTGCGCCATTCCCTTCCCTAACTCCTGAACCGGGAAACCTTGACTCGGCAGCTCCAGCTGCTCCGAACCAGGCCCGCCTGCAGGTCCAGCAGCCCGAGCCTGGTTTGCTGGCGAGTCGTGCTTGTGCCTGTTGCCCCTCTTGCCCGTTTCATGCGGCCGCAGATGCAGCAGCTGCGGCTCATGCCCTTCCTTCTCCCCTTTCGCCTCCTTCTCAACACGTTGATTATGCTCCTTATGATCCTTATGCTCCCTGTGCTCCCTCCCGGCCCTAGGCACCCCATCCCGCCCCTCCTTAACCCCTCTTCTCTTCCCAACAGGATGCCGATGATCCCTCTGTTCCCTCTGGTCCCTTTTCAAACCTCCCGTCCCCCCACTTCCCACTCCCTCCTGCTCCGCCTCACCCTCCCCTCTCTCCCTCCCAGCGTCAACCCCACCGCCGTGGGACCCATGCTCTCTCTGCTCTCTCCCACCCGCCCTCCTTCTCCCGTCCTCCGACCTTTCCTGCTGTTCTAAGTTATTTCCACTCCCTGGGCTCAACGACCCCGGCCAGGATCGTAAGCCCGTGCTTTGCATTGCAGAGTCCCCCAGAAACGCACCCGCTGCCTTCCCTGCTGCAGGAGACCCGCCAACACCAGCGTCACCAACACCAACGCCACCAGCACCAGCTGCGGCAGCACCCGCTGCTGCCACAGCTGCAACGGCAGCAGCAGCCGCAGCAGCAGACGTTTTCCTCTTGCGAGAGTGAGAGCCCTCCCCGGATATAACCTTCCTCTCCCTGCCGTGCGCCATAGCCGCCTGCCCTTTCAACTCCCTCTCCCCGCTCGCCTCTCTCTCGCCCCCGTTCCCACCACCGCTGACTCCCCAATCGTCCCCTTCCTGCCTTTCCTCTTGCCCCATTCCCCCTTCCTCCGCCCTTCTCTCCCCCCCTGCGCCAGCAGCAGGCGAGGAGAAAACCGACGGGGAGTGCGACCCCAGCGGCGGCGTCAGCGCATTTCCCTCATGCCAACGCTCGCTCTCCCCCCGTTTGTCTCTCCCGCGCTCCTCCTTCCTCTCCTCCTTCCTCTCCCTCTCTCTGTCCCTCTCCCACGAGCCAGGAGACGGTGAGGCGTCTTCATGCGAAGCACCGTCCCAACGAGGCGTGACGTCCAGGTGATGAGGCTCTGACGACCGTTTCACCTTGGCTGTAGCGTACAAACAGGGACGCAGGGGAGGGGAGCAGGGAAGACGAGCTTTTGAGGAACATCACAAGTGTAACACCAAGGTGTCTTGTCTTCATGCGATGCACCGTCCCAACGGGGCGTGACGTCCAGATGATGGGGCTCGGACGTCAGCCTCACCACGGCTCTATTGAACAAACAGGGGGTTGCAGTTTGCAAGCGAAAGGCACAGGAAAGAGGGAGGGAAGTAGAACTTGCAAGGTTTCTCACACGAAGACTAAGTTGTCTTTTCGCAAAGCACCATTTTAAGCACAGCAAGTGTCACGCTCGGAAAATGAGGCTTGGAGGATCGGGCTTCATTCTGGGTGCAGGTGGAGGGGAGAGAGAGGGGAAGTGCCGGGAGCCTCGAGCAATGCGTCTCCACGTGAGGCAGGGATCGTGGAGCACATAAGGCCTGGCTGAAAGGGCCCAACGAACGCACCACCTTCTTTGGTTTCAGTAAAGGAGGAGGAGGAGGAGGAGGAGGAGGAGGAGGAGGAGGAGGAGGAGGAGGAGGAGGAGGAGGAGGAGGAGGAGGAGGAGGAGGAGGAGGAGGAGGAGGAGGAGGAGGAGGAGGAGGAGGATGCAAGCGGAGATGGAGACGGGAGTGGGAAGGAGACAGGTAGACAAGTCAGCCTGAGCAGGACACCATGGCGCAAAACGTGTGACAATGATCAGAAAACGACGCTGATACTGAGAGGCTGAGACTGAGAGGCTGAGACTGAGAGGCTGAGACTGAGAGGCTGAGACTGAGAGTCTGAGACTGAGAGGCTGAGGCTGAGAGGCTGAGACTGAGAGTCTGAGAGGCTGAGACTGAGAGGCTGAGACTGAGAGGCTGAGGCTGAATGGCTGGCGCTGAATGGCTGAGGCTGCACGGCCCACTCATCCGTCTGTGAGGCGCTGTGGCATGCTGTAGCTACAATAGGTGCCAGGCCTAAGCAATCAGGCACGTGAAGCCCTTCGTAGTGCAAAGGAACATGGTACAACAAGACATGACAACGACGTGCGCGAGCACGAACACTCCATTATGGCGTACAAGTGTCAGTGAACAGCAATGCACTGGAGTAAGGGAGAGAAGAACAACGGTTCCACCACAGGCGGGCGAAGCGAGCAACTTAGCACATAGGCTCCTCATGGGTTTGCACTCCTTACCAGTGCGTGTGCGGCGAGGCACTGCTGTGAGAGTGACGGGGCCGTTCTCATCCATCGACTGTATCCACCACAAAGGGGGGGACAAAGGGGAGAAGCGCGGGGAGAAAGAGGGCGGAAAAGGAACGGTAAGAAGGAGACACAGGGAGACGAGGAGCGGTTCAATGGTTGAAGCGCTAGTAGGTACGGAGCTTAAGGAAAAAACTGGGAAACGGCGAGGAGGAACGGTCAAGCGGCAATGAAAGACATGAGAAGAAACGGCATGGTTTATCAGGCACAACCAGCGGTTTCCCTCGTTACCCCCTACCCCTTTCCGCACGTACCTCGAGCTTCGAGCCTGGAAGGCGGAACTTCGGCGGACGCCTCGATCCCACGGAGGAGTCCTCGCGCGGGTCCCCGGGCGAGGGGAAATCACCATGCGCGCTAATCCCCACGGCCTCCCCTGCTCCCGCGACTGCGCCTGGTGGCGGAGTGGCCTCCTCCTCTTCGTCCGCTTGAGGGGAGAAGGGGGAAACGGCCTCGGACGCACTCCGCTTGCGCTTCGTTTTTGAGCCGTTGGATCCTCCAGAGCCTACCCTCGGTTTGTCTCGCTTCCGGCTATTCGACCCCGTGGAGTTGTACGCGTTAGTACCAGCTCCAGCATTATTCCCGCCGCCAATGTCGACGGAGTGTCGACTGGATCCTTCGATACCACCACCTCCGCTTGTGTCACCTCTCGCGATTCCTCCTCCTCGTGAGCCGTGGCTCTCAAGTCCAGACCCATCGGGTGTGGAATGCCCAGCATCTGTTCGTGGGTCAAGGGAAATGTCGAAGAATGTAGGATGCGCAAAAACGCTTCAGAAAACCATATGGCTGATACAGGACCGCTTTTTCTCCTATCGTGAAAAAAGGCCCTTCGACAGAGGTCCATTGGTATCAATATAAAACGAAATCGAAACGGAAATCGAGCTACTTTTACCGCGCATAAGATACCGCAGAAGGACATAAAAGTCACAAGAGGAAAAGAGGCTCTTAGCGTCTTAAAACCAGGCGTCTATAAACCATCTGTAATTCAAAGCGCTTAAAAGAATCGGTATTTATCAAATGGATAAAGGGGGTAAACGACAGTGTTAAGCTCTGTTGTAAAATACTAGCGCCATGAAGGCTCAGCGACCGTTACGTAACTAAACCTCCGATCATTTAAGTCATAACCGCAGTTATCTCGTATGCCATTAACGCGGATGGAGAGGAGAAAGTGCTGCCTTTCGTAACAACGACCGAGCCTGACACGTTCAACGTCTACCAAGCTAACGTGAGTTACATCTACCTGGCGACTGCACCGACATTCCTTTAAATCAACGACAAAAAACTTTAACGGCTCAAGAATTCGCCGGTTCCAGCTACCAGCATCAGCCAATAACGCTCGGCTAAGTGGAACCTCCGGCTGCGTAAAAAAATGCCAACTACTGGAGAAAAAAAAACTGTTCGACGGAGTTGGAAAGTTGTTCGCAAAGAGTCTCTTATAATCGCCAAATCTCACGACGAAAAGGCCGACAGCACGACACCGTTCACTAAAGCTCATGAAAAAATGCGGACTGATCTTCTTAACTTCCTCAGGGAACTTCAGATCCACACCGTAACTTCGCATCATCTAAAAAGCTAGGTGACGGCTCGGGATCTAATAGAGTAATTGAATGACTATGCATTGTCGACTAGTATCTGAATTACCTTGAGTCTCCTTAGGTCCAATGGAGCTCCGCGAGCGACGCTGCGTCGGAGTGGTCACGGGACCCTTATCGCCTTTTCTCGTTTCTCTCATCCTGTCCATCGTCTCAAAAAAACGATCGAATTTCTGACTTCAACAATATCCACGCGACTGGAAAATCTGGCCTATCGAAGAAAGCCTTCACGCCTAACGGCGTATCTAGAAAGCCTGAAACGAATTTCTAGCCGCAACGTCGGCCAGCTTTCATTAGATTCCTATCAGCGTCAGCGTCTAGGCCGAACTCGGCCTCAGTCACGGGACTAGCATTGCGACCAAAACCCATCGCAACAACCAGCGAAACCAGAAGCAACCAAAAGGAGAACAAATCTCCGGTCAAAACCTTTCCGTGACCTTACTTCTGCTTCTTCCACAACCCCAGACACACGCATCTAGAACCTAGACGAATAGAGGCTCTGGTAAAAGGGGGAGGAAAGGTAAGGAGAGAGGAGAGGAGAGAGAACTGGAGAGGAACGGAGAGGAGGCTTGCAGGCAGCAAAACACCTTCACAAAGCAGTTGGTGCTTCCTTCTCCCGCCAATCAAAGCGAGGTTTTCAAAACAAACCTCTGATTGGGCCGAGGCATATCCAGCCTCCAGCCAGGCTCGGCACGGGTTTGGCGGGGAAAGTAAACGCGAAGAGATGCGAGCAGGTTTGGTCGGGCAGGTCATTGGTTGAGATCGAGGTTCGAATGTCCGAACCTTACTTTCCCAGTCTGCTGACCTGGAGATAGGTGCCAGACGTCTCACTTTTGCTTGTTTGAGTCGATGTTGCTGTGTTCGAGATTGCTGAAGCTGCTGATTATATTCCTTGCCTTTATCCGAGCTGCGGCCGAGCCACACCCGACGTCCAGGCTTTGTGGGGTTTTCTGGAGATGGCTTGGAGGCGCCAAGTGCCCACTGCCACGTGGTTGAGGCGTGACTGGTTGTTGGTTGAAAAGGGTGATCCAGAGCTCCTGTGTGAGGTTCCTGCGCATGACATGGCGACGGAATGCAATCGGCTCCTGATTGGCTAGGCTAGCGGCTTTGGGGAATCTGCGCTGCTCTGGCTCCCAGGAACCGCGGTTGCGACTGTCTAGTGAGTGGAAGGCCACAGCAAAGCTGGCCAACAAACTCGATCAGGCAGGCAACTCTGGTCCGAACCGAACCAGAACTCAAGCCAAAATGAAGCTCACACCCCCCATTGAAAGGAAACCCTCTCTCATCGACCAACGATCAGATCCAATATCGATGGCCAAAGTGGTAGCTTGGCCAAACGAGGCTTCACGGAGAAGATCGTGGCTCGGAATGCGACCGGACCAAAATCCTCGCTCTGGTTGAGGTGAAGAGGCTTCACCCCGGACTTTCAACCTACCAGAGCTCCGACCGAGCCACAGGTTGAGCCTGCCAGACCTAAACTAGCCACGTCATCAGCGTCTCGAAACGGTGACAATTAAGCTGATGGTGACACATGATTGGTTGCCATCCTCGATTATGTCGGTCGCTTTGGAGGCTGATGTGTCGAAGGAAAGCCCACATGTTCTGGGCTGCTGAGTCGTTTCCTGACGGCTCAATGGTTGGCCGAAAAATCCTTTCTTCCTGCCCTACAAGAGGGGAAGCTACAAGTTACCAAAATATATGCATTGCCACGTCAGGGTTCGGCAAGCACAATGTGGACTGCCCTAAACCTTCGGAAACAGTACAGTGCAACTGTCGCCGTTCATTATCGGGTCCAGCACAATCTTCTTCTACGCACTAGACTCAATTTGGATATTCAAACCTTAAGTTTCAAGTGCACACAAAACAGTCAAGATGGACTTTTGGAAGCCAGATACTATGTGCAGCACCTTATGCAATCATCTCATAGCTATATGTGTATACAATTCCGCTAAATGGCCAATAGCGAACCACTTTGCATATCAGAACCAAAGAGGCTTGATGTATGTTGCGGAGTGGGTTTAATGGGACGAGGCTACGTGTACGAGCCTAGATACGGTGTGTTTAGCACAAATACACACAAGCCTTCGAGCTAAGCATTCACCACCGGGCTGCGCATCTACGCCAGGCTTCAGTTGTCCTCAGCGTGACAATGACACACTGCAACTTTGTTCCGACAATAGACGGGATAAGATGTACAGTAAAATATGTGCATAAAACACTACACCTACTATTTATTGTTTATGTCTAGGCTGGCAGCTGCTGCACGGGTGGATACGGAACCTGTGGGTTCACGAAACTCTCGTGCACGAACGAGAGGTGGTAACACGTGTTACAACTGCTGGCAGGTTCTGCCTGGAACAGGCGGTACCCAAGGTCCTCCAAAGCAAACATGACATCTGTGGTCCTACCCACGTGGTGTGTCCTGATGGGGGGACACAGGCAGATTGGGAAGGTGGGAGGGAAACATGCAAGTGTTACACAACTGCTGGCAGGTTCTGCCTGGAACAGGCGGTACCCAAGGTCCTCCAAAGCAAACATGAGGTCTGTGGTGTGGCCTACGGTACATGGTGGGTCCTGAGAGGGGGGGATTGACAAGGGCGACAAGGGGGAGTGGATGTGGCAGGCGGGCAGGCTCTGCCTGGAATGGAACAGGCGGTACCCAAGGTCCTCCAGGGCAAACATGACGTCTGTGGTGCGCCCCACGTGGTGGGTTCTGGCGTAGTCCTATCCACGTGGGGAGTCCTGTTTGGGGAAGATTGTGAGGATTGGGAGATTGTGAGGATTGGGAGATTGTGAGGATTGGGAAGGTTGTGAGGATCGGTGGGATAGAGGCGAATCGCAAAGGGTTGCACTGTAAACAGGGCACCAAGCCTTGGCCAAAGGCAGGGCAAGTCTTGCACAGATCCACGTTCAAAGGAATCGCTTCTGGTGGGCGAAGGCAGGGGGTTCAAATTGGCTTTGGAGGCGTCTCACAGTGAACAGGGCACCAGGTCTTTGCCAAATCCACATTCCAAGGAATCGCTTCTGGTGGGCGAAGGCAGGGGGTTCAAGTTGGAAGATCCGGAGCGACTACCAAGGGCGTATTCACACTTACTGGTGGATCTCGAGGATTACTTGGCTCGCAGGGGCTTGCTGGCGGCCGAAGAATTGCAGCAGGTCCGGGATCACTGCCTCCTCACAGCGCTCACAGTCGATCTGTGGGGTGGGATGGGATGGGGTCGAGTGGGATGGGGTGGGATGGGATGGGGTCGAGTGGGATGGGTTGGGATGGGATGGGAGCAAGGCTTGCTGGCGCCCAAAGAACTGCAGCAGGTCTGGAATCACTGCCTCCTCACAGCGCTCACAGTCGATCTGCCGGGGTGGGGTGGGATGGGGTTGGGTGGGGAGGGATAGGTTGGGATGGGTCAAGATGGCACTAGCTACCAGGGAATTGCTGGCGACCGAAGAATTGTAACAGGTCTGGGATCACCGCCTCCTCACAGCGCTCACAGTCGATCTGCATCGAAGGGTAGTGAAAGAATTGAGATGGGGTGGAATGGGGTGGGATGGGGTGGAATGGGGTGAAATGGGGATGGGGTGGAATGGGGTGGAATGGGGCGGGATGGGAAGGATGAGTTGGGGTGGGGGTGGGATGAAGTGGGTTGGGCTTTGATGAATTGGGATGGAATGTGCGTGTGGATGAGGTTGCCCATTATCCCATGCAGCGTCAGATACTCCCTTTGAGGCGCCTCAGAAGTCGTCATTTGAGGCGCCTCAAAAGTCATTATCCCATGCAGCGTCAGAAACGCCTGGATGGGCGCTGCCTTGCGCCGTACGGGGGTGAGGGTAGGGGAAGGGGAA